AGTGGCAAGAAGGAACTGGTGGGCTGGGCGTGGTGGTGCAGACCTCTGATCCCAGCACTCAGGAGGCAGAGGCAGGCAGATGTCTGTGAGTTCCAGGACAGCTGGAGCTACAGGGAGAGCCTGTTTTTAAAAAACCAGGAAAAAGAAAAGAAAAGAGGAATAGGTAGAGTCCAGTGACTACCCCCCCCCAAGTCCACCTTTAAGGTAGTGACATGAGGTTTAGCTTTCAATAGAACATAAAAGGTAAGCCTAATGAAGCAGTTCTAGGAGGATCATGAGTTTGAGGTCAGACTTGACTGCAATGCAAGACTCTCTCAAAAAAATAATTGAATTAAAAATTAAACATGATGCTGGGCATGGTGGCGCACACCTTTAATCCCAGCACTTGGGAGGCAGAGGCAGGCAGATCTCTGTGAGTTCAAGGCCAGCCTGGTCTACATAGTGAGTTCCAGGACAGCTGGGGCTACAGGGAGACCGTCTCAAAAAGACAAAAAAAAAAAATTTAAATATGAAATCTTAATTTCTCTTTTTAAAAGCTGCTGCTTTGTATAATTTATCATTCTTTGCTTGTTAGCTGAACTTTCGTAAAAGAAAAATGGTTCCTCCTCAGCCCTTGGTTTACCCTAAAGTACAATTCCTATAGGAAAGGAAAATGAAAGCCTTACTTCTTTCTGGAAGGTTACCGCTATAGTAAACCTAAGTGAACATATGCTTTAACATAAGCCTTAATGGGGAAACTTTACACACATGTCTGTTTAGGGTCTTGAGCAGACAAGGATGTGCCTGCTCTTTTCTGCTTGTCACAAATAAAAGGAAAGTGGTGTGAGTATTGGAAGAGACATGTTAGGATCTTGGTTGTGTCTAGACTATACACGCATTAATTTGGAAAAAGTAGCCACAATGGAATCAACGAATTGTCAGAACTGCCTTATGCTCATCAAGGGCCCTAAACATAATGGCTGTTCCTTTTCATTAGCCTTTACCAGCTAGAAATGATAGAGAAATATATCCTAACAGGAAGTCTAGAAAAGGTAGGCGTTTATCTAGTTAGAAATACCAAGGAGTCAGATGAAAAGACTTTGAAACTTAAATAAAAACCACAGGAAATAATCACAGACACTCCAATTTACATCTTCTTGTAAGGATGGGTATTCTTATACTTATCAGTAAATTCCAAATAATGTCTGCTGAAATTTTAGTTGGCATTTTTTTAACAGCTTTACAGGTTACCCTGAATGTTGTGCATAAGAATAAAAAGGAGGACCGGAGATAGGGCTGAGTGGTTAAGAGCTCTGGCTGCTCTTGCAGAGGCCCTGGGTTCAATTCTGAGCACCCACATGGTGGGAGACAGCTGTCCATAACTTCAGTTCTAGGAGGGATACGATGCCCTTGGGTACACTGACATACATGCTGGCAGTACACTCCTAAAATGAGATAAAATAAGATTAGATGGATTAGATTAAATAGATTAATAAATAGATGAAATAATAAATAGAATAATAATTTTTTTAAAGAATAAAAAAGATTTCCAACTTAAAAAAAGTTTTATTTTATATATATGTGTGTGTGCCTGAAGGACTGTATGTGCACCAAGACTCTCTCAAAAAAATAATTGAATTAAAAATTAAACATGATGCTGGGCATGGTGGCGCACACCTTTAATCCCAGCACTTGGAAGGCAGAGGCAGGCAGAGCTCTGTGAGTTCAAA